AAAAAAAAATAAAAAAAAAAAAAAAAAAAAAAAAAAAGGCCACTGAAAAAATAAGCTATATTATTGAAATTTTAGGTAGTTTAAGCACGACTTCATATCCATCTATTAAATGGCAATTACTCAATAAAAGTTTCTCCTAAATGTATGTCTCATAACTGAAAGGACATAAATTTGGCAATTCCAGGAAGCATTTATGACCATCCTATACTACCTCATGATATTCAACCATAGGTTGATATTATTGCGACAAAAAGATATCATTTAGACTATATTATTGAAATTTTAGGTAGTTTAAGCACGACTTCATATCCATCTATTAAATGGCAATTACTCAATAAAAGTTTCTCCTAAATGTATGTCTCATAACTGAAAGGACATAAATTTGGCAATTCCAGGAAGCATTTATGACCATCCTATACTACCTCATGATATTCAACCATAGGTTGATATTATTGCGACAAAAAGATATCATTTAGACTTTAGAGGATATAACAGAGTAACAGGCATAAATGAGGAGCAGATCTAAGACGCCTAAGTTCCCAAAAGCCGACCTATATGCAATTCAGATTGGAGGTGAAGAAAAGAGCTATAATAAAATTGTGCATATAACACTGGCGAGAGAGACACAAGAATGGATAAAACGAAGCAGTGACAAAAATTCATGTACTCAGCCAAGTCTATTGGGATTATGGTTTGGTTTGTTGTTACCATTAACATCATCGATATCAAAGATGCAAATAGCATGCTCTGAGAAAGTAGTAAGTCAGAGTGGCTTTAAAAGAAAAAAAACGAACGAGAAGAAATGGACATTAATATTTCAAAGATTCCTGACATTCGTTTTAAATACTGCAGAAAAGGTAACTCTGTAGCCTTTGATTTTCATTCACATATCCTGTTATAGTCAATTGTGAGAAAGACAAACTTATGGAGCAGTATGGCAATGCCGCCAAACGAGCATAACTAGTGGGGGCAATGGATCGAGCCGGCTCATCTTCGCATGAGCTCGGCTCATGCTTAAAGACCGAGCTGAGTTCGGCCCACGAGCTCGTGAGTTTTTATTATTATTATTTTTTTTTTTTTCAAGTTTTTTGTTCACAACTTTTACGAGCTCACGAGCCATTCGAGAACTCAAAGAGCCGAGCAAGGCTTTGCTCATCGAGCTGGACGAGCTTGAACCGTCCATGGGCCGAGCTCTGACGAGCCGAGCCGACGAGCCAACAAACTACTTGGCCCTTTTGCCACTCCTAAGCATAACACACACATTGCAATTGAAATGAGAGATGCCCACAATACATGCCTTAAAAACAGAACCCTCAAAACTTGCTCAAAAGCATCAAGAAAGTGGAATAGAATAAAAGAAAGAGAATACAAACTGCATAAAAGATAATGTTTGGTGAATCTCTCAAAAGGGTACTGTAGATAGGTTCAACTGTAAGGTTAAAAATTGAAAAGGTCAGTGTTCATAAGCTGGCTTTAAGAATCACAACGTCAATAAACTAAGCTTACTTTGAAAATCAAAAGAAACAATATGCAGTGTGTGAAACAATATCCACAATCTGTATGAAAAATCAATATCAAAGAACTGCCCTTACACTTTAAATTATCAAACACGTACTACTGCAATAAATAAATGCCATTTGGAACAACTGCAAAAATAAAAATGCCTTAGATCCGAAACATGGATAGAGCTAATAAATTCACCAACCTGTTTGAGAAAATATTCATGCCAATTGTCTAGGGTATCAAAGGACCTCAATACGTTAACATCGTACACCAATACACAACAATCTGCCCCTCTATAGAATGCAACCCCAAGGCTCCGAAATCTCTCTTGCCCAGCAGTGTCCCATATCTGCAACCGCAAGACCCATATTCATTCCTGTTTAAAAAATTAAAAAAATTGAAGTTCTGAATACAAGAATATACACGAAATTGTACTATTTGTTTAATCAAAACAGCTCTTCAGGAAACTAAAACCAACTTGAAGGGTGACGAGTCGGTCATCAATTTGAAGCTCCTTGGTGACAAAATCGGCACCAATTGTAGCCTTATACTGATGACTGAATTTCTTATGTACATATCTATTACGTAATTAAAGAAGAACCATAAAAAAATGAAGCATGGTATTAATAACAAGCAATTAACCTTAAAACGTTCATTATTCGTCAAATAAATAAAAGATATGAACATAATTAATGAAAAAGGATACCGATTCATCAATGATGTTTTACCGACACTGAAATGAACCCAAATAAAAAATCAGTGCTAAATTAGAAAACTAACACCAAGATCAGAAATTGTGGCATTAATTAATTCAAAATTAATAAATAACTTTACCCACTGTCGCCGAGGACGATGACCTTGAGCAATGTTCGCCTGCGCAATGACATTGTTTTCAAATTCTGCAAGTACAATTTCTTTCCTGAATTTTTAAAATCACTATTTGGGGATTTTAAAGAAATATAGTATGTATGAATGAATTATTATGAAGGGGCGCCAATTTCTCTCCTGAATTTACAAAAAAAAAAAAAAGAGGAAATTTAATGTAATGTCCATTTTCAGCGAGTCATTTGCAAAAATGTCCACGATTTTGTCAATGTTCATTTTCCAATTATGTAGACGAAAATGCTCCTGTTAGAAAATGTTATTTCCACACAAGAATTCAAAATTTTTCATATCATTATTCATGTCAATCAACGTAAAAATGTCAATCACATTAAATGCTTGGGTCGGGTAGGTGTGGGTCGATGTGGGTCGAGTTATGGTTCGGATCGCGTTATGGGTAAAAAAATAGAAACCTGATAGAACCCGACTTGAATAAAAAAAAAAATGTGAAGGCGGGAGAATGAAAAAATAAAAGAAGCCCTAAACTAAGTCCTCTCAACTCTCACTCTCAGTCTCTCAATCTTCACTCCGACCCAACCCGTCGACAACGAGCCTGCCCATTTCTCTCTTATTTTCCCAGTTGCCGTTTGCCCACCACACTAAAGAGTCCAGTGCTATAGAGTAAGTTTATTTCGTTATTTTTTTCTTTATTTCGTTATTTTTTTCACTTCCCCAAGTCTCCCCTCTTCCTAAATCCTAAGATTTAGCTAGTTTAACATAAATTGATGTCAAGGTCACTGAGTGTCTCGATTCTATTAGGCGAGCAAATACTAACAATTGATACAATTTGAGATAAAAAGTGATACATGTGAGATACTGTCGAAAAGGTCGAAGAGGTAAAGTGTTTAAAGAAATCAGGAAAATGATTGTACTTTCTGTTGTCCCTGTTATTGTATCTTTTGCTTTGAGATATAATCTATATGTTAACACTAGTACAAAGTGAAGAATACTCCATTTGAGGCATATTTCGCGTCTAAGTTAGGCAATAAACATGATGAAATGACACAGGTTGTGTTGCTATTATACACTCTTAGACTGTTTGAATGCTCATCAGCAACTAAATGGCTTCATTTTCGCATCAAATTTGTTCTGCATCTTGTTGAGGGTTGCATTTGTATATTGATGGTTTCTTATGGAGAAAGATTGTGATAGGTTGATAGCAGATAGAAAACTTTGTCAAATCTTATGACATGTATACTTGATTTTGCGTATGGTCTGTTGTAGTTGGCTCTAAATTTATTTAATACAAGATTATGTTGTTGTTATTTATTTTGCTAAAGAATATTGCATTTTCGGTTTATTTACATATCTAAATTAGGCAATTAACTTAATGAAATTGTAGAAGATTGTGTGTATACTTTTGAACTGTTTGAATGGTGATTAACTATAAAATGGTTACATGATAGCTTCGGATCAGAAGCCAGGTTTGTTTTAATTTCAACAATTAAACAACTTAGTTTAGATATGGTATTTTATCAAACCATTGTATTGTAAAAATCATTTTTCTTTCACTGCATTTTAACAAGAATGTTATATTTGATTTCATTTGTACGTTCTCATACTATTTGTTAAAGTATTGTTTTCATTTGTTTTGATTTGTAGATGAGTATGACACACCGATATAAAATTTCGGAGGAAGAACGTGTTCCGACCCACGTGTCGCAAGTGAGCAACACAAAATATATATCAGTTGTCCTCAAAAAATTGGATCCACAGCAAAAGCGTCCGTTGGAGGACAGTTGTATAGGACATGTTGCAAGGTTACCGGAGCTGAAACTATCTGCTCAATTAATTCATGAAATAGTAAACAGATCGGTGGTATGCTGAAAGCGGTTTGCGGCTTGGTTCAAGGTGAATCAAAGATTTGCACGATTTGGACTGCCGGAGTTCGCACTAATTACTAGCTTGAAGTGCAGTCTAGTGCCTAAAGGTGCCGAAGTTGACAAAATCCTAGAGAAAACCCCTCTACAAGATAAAATATTTGCTAATATCGATCGGATAACGTGTAGCGACCTGAAGAAAGTTTTTTTGAAATGTGTCAATCGTAACGATCGTTACAAGTTTGAGTTGGCACTAATTATTGAAGGGGTATTTAATTCAAGAAATCGAAATGTAGGAATAAATTCGACAACTCTTTCCATCGTTAACGACTTGGATTTTTTCAATGCCTACCCATGGGGGACAGTATGTTTTCAACTTCTTATCAAATCACTACTACGTGGATGGGGAAGAAAGGCGGACATGGTAAAAGTGAATGATTCTGATAGGATGACTTACATATTGTACGGATTCCCTCTTGCTGTCCAGGTATACATCTATTTTGATTCATTTCAATTTTTCTCATCGCTCATTATTATTTATCTCCAAATATGATTATTATTGTTACAAATGTCATGCAGATTTGGGCATATGAGGCAATTCCGGAGTTGGGAGCTCGATTCTCGAGTAAGACTTGTGTCAATGTCCTAAGGATGTTGCGGTGGTCTGGCACGAAACAACCTCATTCCCGAACATATTCAGATTTTTTTTGAAAAGACAAATGTAGGCGATTTACATACTTAATTGCCTTACACTTCGTAATATATATTTTTTCATTTCGCCTATTTTTCTTCTCCTGTAGGTGTACTTATGGGCAACGCTGCAAGCAACTGCTGCAGAAGAAGTGCAGCCGTACTTCGTCGATCTAGTTCCGTTGGAAGACGCAGCCGACCCCGTTCGCATCTCGTTGAAGGCAGAGAAGAAGAGCATGGGGATCCGATCGTTGAAAGACCTATGTCTTTAGATGAGATAAGAGTTATCTTGAATGAACAACGAGAGGCATTTGAGAGCAAGATGGGGGATTTGAGGGAAAATGAACACAAGATTCGCTAGTCTCCAAAATGATCTGGGAGATCATGTGTGTGGTTTGAGAAATCATGTTACTGATGACATGAATGTTCTTCGATGAAGGTTTGATGAAGTTGCTACAGAAATTGGATAACACAATGTTGGTGCTAAGTATGGTGGATTTGGTCATGACGATCGCAGTGAAGACGAGCCCCTACATGATATTTTCACTCCCAATATTTCTGCGGACAGATAGGATGTCGGAAAGGCAACCGAACCAGTTGTTTGCAATATCCCTGATGTGTTCATAACGTCGGGAGGTGGGGTTGGAGTACTTGGGTCAGTATATGTTGCTTGTGATATTGTGAAAGAGGCACTAGCCGTTGTACCTATAGTTGGTGTGACCATTGATGATCAACTTGTTCATGATAGCGTCGTTTCTGGACCTTCGATGGCAGCTGATCCACCTACATGTAGACCTCAATCGTTGAGGCTGAAGAAGGCTAGTGCAAACACAAAGACGCTATACACCCGATCTGGTCACAAGAGGGGTAAGAGGGATGCGTAGAATTTAGAGGTTCGCCTATTTTGATTTATATGGTGGTTTTTCAATATGTATTTTGGTTTATGTCGTGGTACGAAAAATGTATTTTGGTTTAGACAATGGTTTGCATATTTTTGTTTATATGGTGGTATGTAATATTTTGTGGTACGAAAAATGTATTTTGGTTTAGGCAGTGATTTGCATATTTTTGTTTATATGGTGGTATGTAATATTTTGTGGATGCAAACCGGTGGTTTATAAATTAGTGACATATTCCGAATGTTGTATGTTGAAAATAGTTTATAACTTTATTATCTCATATAATGGAGTAGGAGATGTCAATGTTCTAATGAAATGTGGAGAAATACTATACTTTAGTTGAAATGTCGTTCTATTCATATGTACTGTCAAGTGTCCAGATTAGCATATATTTAATGTCGAGAACTACACGTCAAATATCAAGAAATGAATGAAATGTCAAGAAATATATTGTTTCAATATAAATGTTAACGTCCTTTATATATATTTTTTAATAATATGTGAACATATGTGTCATTCTGTGTGATCGTGTATGTGGAAATAAAATAAACTTCGTGGTACTTAGCAATTAGTAAGGAAAAATTGATTAACTCGGTTAGTTTTAATAAATTAAAGAAATTTATCGTATATTTTTTTTCAATATAAAATTTGAATTATACAAAACGTTAATTTATTTTTTTGGTGAATATAAAATTTTAATGGAACAAAATGAACTAAAAAGAAATTTATAATTTGTCAAAAAGTTTCAAATTGCAACATAAGAAAGTTTAAAGAAACCACTGATATATATATATATCCATAATGTGTGAAAAATATTCAATTATGACAACACAACAAGCGAATATATTCACTATATACAGAATCCATCAACAACATTCAATTATCGTAACACAACAAAATGGTTCTCACATTTACTCACATGCACACTTTTAGCTACTTTTTCTCGTTCACTCATTATCCTCACATTCACTCCCCCATCCACACATTTAGCTACAATTATTTGTCACATTCACTCACTGTTCACACGTTTTAATTAATTTTAGCTCCTTCTTCTCATTCACTCCTCCATCCACACATTTAACTACAATTATTTGTCACATTCACTCACTCTCCTTCACTCACTCTCTACACATTTTAATTCAAGTTTCATTCTCACATTCATTTAGCCGGAAACATTTCCCACATTCACTCAAAAAACCACCATTTTTTTTTTGGAATATGTTTTACGTTATATGTAAACAAAAATATTACATTTTGTTTAAAATATTAATTTTTGATTTTAATTTTGTTTAGTAAACAGGACGTGAAAAAAATTATATTTGTTTGGAAATATTAATTCTTAAATAATTGTACAATTAACAGTACTTTATTTTACTATAATTGATGTGTACAATCAAATGAAAATATTAATTGTTGAAAAAATAATTACAGTTGTTTAAACATATTAATTCTTGTATAATTGATGCAGATATGTTTAGAATATGTTCTCTCTCCAGAACAATGGTTTTCTGCTACCATCCTTCAGTATCCAAATCGTCAATACGTTAAAGATTTTGTAAAATTCATAGATACAAACGAACAATGTTATTTGATGTGCAGTAATTTTTATGGATTTATATATGGAGCTGTTTTCAAAGGAGAAGAAGAACAATTTACTAGCAAGTTGGTACACGAATTTATAATGAGACTTGTGCATTGTGGCAAAAACAATGAACTTTGGGTACGGTTAGATGACCATCTTGCTAGGTTTGGCTCGCAAGAATTTTGCCTCATTACTGGACTACCTTGCCATGAACCATCCGTAGAAATTGATTATAATAACGATCGTCTTAGAAATCAATACTTCAATGACACAAAAAAATTAGCAATAGAATGCTTTTTGAAACTTTCCACATGTGTGAAGATACAGAAGATAAATATAAGCTGGGATTAGTTATGTTGGTTGAGTGTGTGTTGAAACCGACTTCACGACAAGTTGATTATAGAACTCTGGGCATGGTTGAACATCTGGATGAGTTCCTTACGTATCCGTGGTGCCAGATAGCATATTTCGTTTTGTTAAATTCATTGAAAGAGTCACAATTGAAAAGAATACTGAGGATGCAACAGAATGGACAAACAGAATGTAAGTATGCATTCCGAGGCTATCCACTCGCATTTCAGGTATTATGTTCCTATTCTAATTACTTACGTATTATGTATAATTTCTTTGTACAAAGAATAAAATTTATACATCACATTTCTCTTTCTTTACTTTGCAGTATTGGATATATGAAGCGTTTTCACGAATTGGACAAAAGTTTGGTCAGCGTAAACACAGAACGGTGCAGATTCCACGAATCTATAATTGGAGGCCTAATACTATACTGAAGGAATCGGTTGTTAAGCAATTTTTGGATACTCAAGATGTATGAATTTTTTATTTTCAAGGTAGAATGACATTCGCATTTTATTATTAACAAGTTCAATTAAACAAATGAATTTTGATAGTTTGTTATGATTACAAATCGAAGTCATTGCAGTGCTGCAGCCTACAGAGGAAGAATTACAAACACCCTGGTACACAAATCTTTCACTGTCGGCTGACGATGAACATAATTTATTAGATGCCATTGTCACTGGAGAAGTAGATAATGTAGTACCACAAATACCAGATAACATAAGTGTGCAAGAAACGACCAGTCGTGGTACATCGAGAACTTCAACTAGAGTTGGGCCTAGTTCTGCTTCTGGTGCCTCCAGATATGTAACTGAAGACCGAATGGAAGAAATGTTGGGTATGTACAGGCAACATACGATATCAGATGTGTCCAGTCTGTGTGGCAACTTGAAGGTAGAATTTGTTGAAGAATCTAGAGCCCTGAACCAGGATATCATTGAAAGCCAAAAGCAACTGTTCGAACAGCATAACAAATCGATGCAAGATTACATACTATGTGGTATGCAGTCACACATGGATGATTCTCTATCAAATATGTTTAACACTCATATGACCCAAGAATCGCAACAACAAGAAGCCCATTATCAGGCGATTCTTCGAAAACAAGAAGAATTATTCCAGCAGCAACATGAGCACATACAATCTTATATTGATACAAGTTTATGTTATGTCAGATCTTACATTGACAAAAAGAATGAGAATATGCTAAACAAATTATCTAACTGGGAATCCAACATGGAAGCCATTATAGGTTCCATGCAGCAGGATGTTCCTCTCCATGCAAGTCCAAATCTTACTGTTCAACCACATGAGACATCAACGTCTCAACTAGCAGAAAGTGTTGACATGCGAAGAAGAGAAAGGGAAAAGAAGATGAAATACACACAGGCTTCGTCATCCACAGGCCATCCCTTAGAAGACTATGACATGAACAAGTACAAAAACATTAGGAATTGGATATCGAGAAATTAATCTGGGTAACAAATGTAACTCATTCTGAATAGTCCGAATGCTAAACATTATTATATCTATGTCAAAAATTATTTGTTGAATTATTTGACAGTAATTTAAATTATGTTATACAGTGCATATTTGGACGATGGCCGTGGCAATGTCTATGGAAGAGACATGCTAAAAAGTTTAATGAATCCGACGAAAGATCTGAATATTGCGGTGAGTGAAGGTTTGCAATCACAATAAATTTGATTTCGTAGTTAATATGTTTATTATATGTTACATATATTTATTGCATTAGCATATTGAGTTGGAGCTAAAGTTATTGAGGCAGCGTATGAATGAAGATTGTACTCTTGTTAATAAAAAATATGCAATCTTGGATTTTCAATTTGAAAAGGAGTGTTGTCAGCAAATGAGGTGGCACGTGGAATATAACCAGAGAGGTGGATTAGATGGAACTTACCTACAAGGCTATGTCAACGGTACATTGCCTGTAGCTGGTCGTTCGTGGATGGGATGCAAGTATTTATTAATTCCAAGTTCATATCCAGGCAATAAATGTTATCTGTTTCTGGTCAATATTCCTGAATGAAAATTCTACATATACGACTGCAGCAATAATGTTCACACACCTGATGCAATCAAGGCTCACGCAGAAGCAACATGTACAGTCGTTCAAACATTATTGCAATGTCTACCCCTGTCTACCAGACGAGATATAAAGAAACATATAAATGATCCAATGAAGATGGAGATTATACCTTATCTACCGTGTGCGAACAATGGGTGAGCATTTCAACTCTTGTTATTTACTACCGTAGTTAATCTATTGTATATACTAATTTCGATTAACGAAAAATCATTTATTGTACAGGCTAAATTGCATAATGTTTGTACTCAAGTATATAGAATATTTCGTTCTTGGGCATCCAATTGAATCAGTTTCAGCAGAGAGGATGTCAATAAATAGAAGAAAGATTGCGATCGATTCTTTAAATAACGAATACTTTCTTTATCCTCGATAGTGAAACAGTTGTCGTGGTTTAGCTGTACTTTGCTTGTGTGACTGTTGATGATCAGCCGATTCATGATACCGTCGTTTGCAATATTTATTTTGCTTTATGTGGTGGTACATAACATGAATTTTGGTTTTATGTGGTGGTACGTAAAATGTATTTTGGTTTACACAGTGGTTTGTATATTTCGATTTATATGGTAGTATGTAATATGTTCTCGAACTGTCATTCTAGACAAATGAAATATCAAGCGTCGAGATTCACAGCTATGTAATGTCGAGAACGACATATCAAACGTCCGAAAATCGAAGAAATCTAGAGAAATATCGTATTTTGGTCCAAGTGTCGTTCTAGACATTCGTAATGTCAAGTGTCAAGATTAATAGCTATTTAATGTCAATAACGACGTTACAAATGTCGAGAACGGCATCAAATGTTAACATAAATATGATCCAACCAAATTTAACTAAGAGTGAAGGCAACCAAATGGTGTATTAACTGCAAAAACTGTAGCAAGCAGGTTTATAATTACTATAGCAGTTAAAGTTGGTATGCCAAGCACAAGTACGTTCTCAACCATATTTATGTGAAAAAAGTTGTAAAATAATCACCATGAATGATTTCAACCATATTGGTTGGTGAGATATCTTATCGTGCATTCAACGGACAAGTGTTTCTCCACTATAAAATGTTGGACTTTACTTAAATATGTACATACGAGAATTTAACAAATTCATAGTACTAGTTAGTTTTTCCATTGATTATATCTTCATCAACTCAACATACTCCTGTTCTTGATGTTACTATCACTTTCGACCCCCCGAGTCGTCCGCGGACAACCTGATCATCATAGACTCGGACTCGAATGATGAAAGCAATATCTTTGTTCCATATGTTCGTCAACCTTCGAACCGCCATCGCAGGGTTTGCCTTCAACCAATCCCTTTTCCGAATCTAATCGACGAAATTGAACTAATTCAATTTCATCGTGAGATCGTCCTAGTACCGGTCCAACCGGAAGCATATCATGTGTTGTTGGATGAAAATGCTGGAGCAGTTCCAGTCGAAAATGAAGATGTGATTATCATAAGCTCCGACGAGAAGTATGACAGTGATATGTCCTCTTTGTCCATCGTGGAGGATATGTAGAAGATGCAGTCATCGTAAGTGAAATGTTTACGTACATATAGTAGTGCTATAAAATCCATATAGGTGATGGATATTTTTTGGGGTGATCACCATTTTGTATAATAGTTGTCTACGATATGTATTGGAGTTATGACTTCCTTTTGTTGTGATTACCATTTTGTCTGCTCCAATGACTTCGGAGAACGAGTCATTCACAATGACTTAGGAGAACGAGTCATTCATGGGTTGCTTTTGTATCCATTACCACATTATGTCTATAATGATTAAGAAAATCTCAGTGATGAAATAAATATGTGCTTGTTCACTTATATGATGAACAAAATGATATCGTAGTGAAATGCTCATAAGAATATATGTAAGCATCATTTCTTTTGTTGGTAGTTATACCCCAAACCCGGTCTCTCTTGTTTGTATCCATTATGACATTCTAAAATGAAGTATTGTTTGTATTTAGTGAATGCCCATACGAATTTTCCTGTTTGTGCGTTATAAAATTTTGAACGACTAGAATAATATAAGAGAAAAATCACAAAAAATGGGATGAATCCGTATAAAGGATTCAAAATGTATTACAAACTTAATTTTACAACAAACAATTGCAAATAAATGATATCAAGAGAGAACGAAGAAAGAAACAGAAAGAAGTAGAAGTTAAAAATATATTCAACAACATTTAAAATAACAGGTAGAAAGCAAGTAATACAAAAGAAAAAAATTCAAAACATTGATAATTCATGTTATCAGGGCATTTGACGATCGGAATACACAATGTCATTCAAGTATACGTGTCACTTAAAGATGTCGAATTCTGACATGTTTGTCTATTATGTCCAGAACCCCCATATCGGCCGTATTTTCGTCTCAACGTCGACCTTTCAGTTCTTGACTGTTGACGTTGGGTAGGAGGTCGACCTGGTGCTCTACGTATATTCGAGGGCAAAACTTCGACAAAACGAATAGATTGAGGAATAACCCAATCTGACTCTCGTCCAACGGGGTGAAGAACTTCGTTGTACGCAGCTCGCCAATATTTTGTGGTGTAGTAAGGGGAGCACAAATCATACAATGATTTTTCTTTTGCGCAAGCAGCTCGAGATGCATGTGAACATGGGATTTGTCGCATTTGAAACTCTCGACATGAACATGTGTTACCTATAAGGTCGACAGTACAAAATTTGGTAGCTATACCTACCTAAAAAACGAGTTCGTCCAAATTTCATGCTGGTAAAGTTGCACCGACGTTGAATGATTTTCTCAATTCATCATCAATTTTTGGTGTCACAGTCGTACTACATTTCGTGGATGCACTTTTTCTCTCGTAGAACCATCGTTGCATCAATGACGTAATATTTTTGATCAACGAGGTTATAGGGAAACTTCTTTGTCGCCTTAGGACTGAATTCAATGACTCCACAATGTTATTCGTCATAACGTTGTACCGATTACCAACAAAATGTGCCTGTGACCAGGTGGATATACCGGTACGTTCTAAGTAAGATGCCATTGACGGTCGAATGATTCTTATCTGTGTCATGAACTGATCAAATTTCGATATGCGGTATGCTAGCGCTGCCCGCTTGAAAAAGAAGATGACATTGCTACTGCTATACCTAGCAATAAGATTTTTCTCCATATGCCAGATGCAAGCACCGTGGTGGGAAAGTGGGAACAACCTTGTAATTGCCCGCTTAATACTCTTCTTCCTGTCCGACACAAACACTAGCTGGTTTGAATCATCAACGACATCTTTCAACTTTGCAAAGAACCAATACCACGATGCATTTGTTTTCCCATCGACAACACTCCACGCAAGAGGATATATTTGTAGGTTAGCATCTTGCGCTGCAACTACTAGTAGTGTTCCCTTATATTGGCCCTTCAAATGACTTCCATCAACCCAAATTACTGGCCTCATGTATTCTCGAAAACCACGTACACTAGGCCCGAACGCTAAGAAGAAGTACAAGAACCTATTATTCTAGTCGAGTTCAATGTGTGTAATAGTTCCTGGATTTTTCTCGGTTAACATGTGACAATATGATGGCAATATCTGGAAACTTTCTTCGGGTGTACCACGAAGAAATCGAAGTCTCTTCTCTTTAGCCCTTCACGCTTTGTTGTAGGTAATCCGTACACCAAACACACGTTCCATAACCCCAATAATACCCGCACGAACATATGATTGGTTTGCATCGTCCAACCTTCACATTATTTGATGTCCAATTACTGCACTCGTTGCGTGAATTTGTGCATTTCGTCGAACGTCTAGAGAACATGTGTACTCAGGTATGTACTCTCGAATCGTAAATATTTCTGAAGTTTTTATCTTAGAAGCTCTTACTAGCCAATGACATGTAGTATCGACACAACACACAGTAAGAGATCTAGGATTTGACTTTTTAACCTTGAAATGAAACTTCTCTTTCAAAGCCTTAAGTTGAAACCTTGTGTGTAACTGTTATTTGCTAAAGAATATCTGATCCTCCACAATGTCCTCTTCATCAATCGACTCAATTGCATTTCGAATAAACAAATTGCCTTCACCTAAACTATCATCCATATTATCAATCGTTTATGGCTCTTATAGTTCGCACATACCGACTCTATCGCGTCCACACAATGCATCTTCTATTGGTGACAAAGGCTCAACTCCGACATGCAGTTCGTGCTCTCCAGCATTATATTCATCTGCAATTACACACAACGCCGCTTCTATGTGAATAAACATAAACCATTGCAAATCCTCATCGTCGACTACATCAGCAGGGGGTATATTCATGTTCGGAACTGTAAATTTCAATTGAATTCAGAAATCATTCTATCAATATTCAGCTTCTCGAATAATTTATGTACAAACTCTTCATATGTAATATCATGTCGAACAACAATTGATGTTGTTCGGTTCCCTAACTACTTCCACCCGTCGTCTATGTTGACGAATCTACCACCATACGAGACAACAAATCTCTTAACATCTCCCATATCTGCATGTCATAAACAACCATACTGTCAACCACTAACGAAAATCAAAAACGAAAATGCTACCTGCACGCAATATGTGAATCGCTATACACGAAATTTTCACAACTTACTCAAGATTTTACTGTTATTGTCAACATTTGACAGTGTCGAGAATGATAGTATAAATATCATTCTCGACGTTTATAAATGTCGTGAACGATATTTATACTATCATTATCGACATTTATAAAATGTCGAGAATGAAATAACGGGATTTCATGCATCTATCATCTTCGTCAACTTCAACCACCATTTTTGCAAGAATTTATTCCACCATAAATGATATTATAAATACATAAGTATATTATCTAACTAAATTATTTAAGATGAATGGTACAAAAAATATATACTCAGGATAATTTCGTCCATTGAAGGGAAAAAATACCTTATCAAAAAATTGAGATTTGAACATATATAACAACAACTACTAAATAAAATTTTTCAAAAAAATGAGAGTTCGAAGAAATAGAGTTCAAAGAAATATACCTTCTACCGACAAATGATGAAAGCCTAATCAGTTTCAAATTTCTACCACAATAAATTTCTAAAAATGACTTCTTTGAAGTTGGAATCATATACTTCTTCGTATATGTTGATGGAATTTTTGCTTCTTCTTCGTTTGTTCTAGAATAATTGATTAAAATATAATTAAAAATATAAGCAAGTGGACTCACCTAAGTAATAGCAACATTATTGTGGCTTCTCATGGAAGTTATTTGCTCTTCTTAAAAATTGTGCTAAAATGATATAAAATTGATTAATCTTTTCATGAGGGTAAAGTAGACATTTTGATCTAAAAATTGGACTTTTTGCAAGGATTATCAAAAAAGTACACTTTTCTACTCCAACCCTTATAATTGGACATTCCTGAAAATCCCTCTTTTTAAAATCACTATTTGGGGAGTTTAAAGAAATATTCTGTATGAATGAATTATTATGAAAGGGGTGCCAATATCGATCTGAAACAACGCCGATAATGAAAATAGAAAGCGAAGTCAAATTCCTACGTATATGTTTTAAGTTTTCTTTTCTTTTCATTTTTTGTGACTAAAAGAGAAATTTTTGTTTGGATAGCTTAACATCTCATTTGACATGATTTCTAAAAATTCAAAGGGATTTTTAGCCCCCGTTTCAGCCACATAATTATAAAAATGAGAATGAAAAATATAGTCATTATGAACCCCACACAAGAGATAAAAGGTAAATATAGTGACTTGATGTGATGGATAACCGTCATATTTTTCATTTTAATGAAGAAATAATGGGGATCAAATAAGCCCTTAAACGAAAAGTTATTTTGGAGCGATTTGGTTAATTTTATATAAAAATGCATTTCTTTTAATTATAAGAACTTTTAAAGGAAAATGGTAAAGAGTTCCTCCAAAACTTTTTTCGGAGATTTTTTTTTTGAATTTAATTTTCAAAAACAAATTAATGTAGTTTCTCATGAAACTCTTATATAAAAAGTAAAAGCGAAAATAGAAGCCTTATTAAAATTTGTCCTAAAAAGTTAAGGTTAAAATCAACAATTAATTTTTTACTCGCATATTTTGATCAACTTTTTATCAAATTATACTAATTTTTTTTATTAAAATCTTTGTCAAACAACCACTTAATTTTGGAGGTTTATGTAATAGTGTGATGTTACATGTACATATTCAAAGTAGGTATCTCTTTATGTGAGGGATGGACACCATAATAAACATCGAATTATGTATAAATAATATATTCCCTGTATAGTATATCATAATTAATATGGATTAATGGTTAATAAAACCCTTGACATTTGATTGGACGATCGCTAGAGAAAACATAGTGCTTGTTTGTGCTCCCATTATTTGTGAGTATTGTATTTTGGAATAGTGATTGATGTTGAAATGTGTGGTTATAAAAAGAAATAAATTTTTTTTATTTACGTGTAATATTATTTTAATAAAGAATGTGTGGTTGAAAACAAGTACTGTAGAAAAAATAATGTGCTAGAATGTGGAAGAATGGAAGACAAAGAAAGTCATAATAAAAAATTAAAAATTTGTCATCTCTTTAGCCCCTATTTGTTTATCATTATTTCAAAATTCAATTTTTTTCCTCAAACTTCTATTCAACCACATATTCCTCCAATAAGATATTTTACATGTAAATTTAATATTTTATTATTACTTTTTGACCACACATTTCTAAAATTCATCATTTCAAAACTCATTTTCCTACTTTAATGATAGATAAACGAGGACTTATTAAAAAAGATTGAGGATATTGCGATGATTCACCTTTTATAGAAGAAACAATGAAAAATGAATGGACATAAAATTCCAAATATTTCCTTCTTGTTTGAAATCAATCGAACTCGCGATTTCTAATACATGTTAGTACAATTTATTGAATAAGACAGTTATCATTTTTATAGGGGTAAAAAGTAACATTAGAAAATAAGAAAATTTACAACTTAGTGTCCTATCTATTTACTTTATTTTAATGCTATTTGTGTAAATATTCTTTGACTTTTTCTTGCTGCTTGCCAACACTTTTCGACTAAGCCCAATGTGTAATGGGTCTTCCCTCAGTAACAAAGCCCTCCCATTAAATCTCTTAATCCATTGATCATAATTGCAATAGTTTGACTCAACTTTCATAGAGTATTTTATAATGTTGACAGTAAGCCCCGTGTTTGGTGTTGAGGGGATAAAATTAGATTTTCAATAAATTTTGATAAAAAAATTGATGAAATGTGTAGTTAAAAAGTTGTGGATTTCATGAAAATACGTGGTTAAAATTAATTGTTAACTTTAACTTAATTTAAAATCTAAATTTTAATTTTAAAGTTTGAATTGCTATTGTGAAATTTTATAATTATAAACCAATTCGTAGATACAGATGTAAAAAATTGGGATATATTCAATTTTTAATTGATTGAGTTGTAAGATTTAGTCCCCGTTTGGCACCCATTATTTGAGATTATAATTATATTTTAATGGAGGTCAAACATGGGCTTAAAAAGTATTATTACCATTGAACCTTAATCCCTCAATAAAATGTCAAAAATCCTTACTTTTTCAAATTTTTAGTGCTGAAATTAGCGCAAAAAAAATGATGACCTGACTTGACTTGACAATTTCGAATGGGAGCGATTTTTGTCACCATTTTTCCAACCGAATGTGAAAATTTCACCCATCACTACAATTTAAATTAGTATTCAAATTTTGCATTTCAACTTTTATAATTCCAAAATTACTACAATATATAGTGTAAAAATAATAACCAATAAATACATACTCACTCATATCACTAATTAAAGAAAAGCTATCATCACTCCACCAAACTTGACATATCAAAGACTAAACATACCCCAACAAAAATCACGCCCAAAAGTCCCCAACCTTTATCCTCTCCATCACGGTAGCGATCAAGAAAAAATCAAGAATTGATTCCAAGAAATCTTTTTTCATTGCAAAACGACTACATCATCTCATTATGTGATTCTCTCCATATATTATGACCAAAAATTCATTCTTTAATCTGTAATTTTCAAAATTTTGGAATTGCAGACTCAAAGGACAGGGTAGACGGGTCCTGAAATCGAGCCTTCCTCATTATTGTGTCATGAAACAACGAATTTGTCCTAACTTACACGTCTCTAGGGAGTATATGATGAGAGAGCTCTATTTCAACCGTTTAACTTTTCTTGCTTGCTTTCTAGAGGAATAGAAGTAGAGTAGTCACCAATAAGTAAATTTTAACAGGATTAAAGTGTTGCTCGTCAGATGGTTCTGTTCACATAGTGCAAATATTTCCAGAATGTTCTTTACAAAATAATGCATTGAACTTTAGTTTTGCAGCTTAGTTGGCGTTCCTTCTGTAAGCGTTTTCAAAGGTTAATAATTTTAAATAATTTATTTGGTTGTGATTGGGAATGTCAATGTTTGTTTTTCCTTGACATTATGGTAAATCACAAAAAATTTATGTTCAAAACTTGTATATTTGCTCTTTCGTTAAAATTTTTTAATTTTGCGGATGGAATATAAGATATGTTTAGTATCCTAATGCAAGGGAAAATGGGGATGTATATGCTCCTATTTATCAATGTATTTGTTTACATTCTAATCTTCATTTCATGGTAACACAGAGTCTAAAGGTATATCATTTTTACAGTTCTATTCAAATATCTTCAAATTCCTATACTCATTTTGCTTCAAAAATTAATTATTGCAGCACCTAACATAGTTATATTTCACATTGATGCAGCCTTGATTGCGATCTTTACGTGATTAAGGTTTGCCAGATACATTATAAATCAGAAGATTGATGTCAAGTCAGAAACTTTGATGCGAACATCTTGAGGTCGCAATTGGTAACTTAACTATTCAAGCATGGATGTAAAAATCAAATTGAAGGTTATGAGACAGAGATCGACCTTGTACCATAGAGTGTGAAAAGGGAGGAAAATCTAAGGGGGTTGATTATTGCAGGACAATCGTCAATTTATGTTAGCTTATTTTGATTAGTAATCGAAAATGTAATGTCATTACTAAATGGTATGTTAGATAACATTGTGCAGTACAGTAACTACGTTTTTGTGGTATGGAATATACATCTCGAATCCGTTTCTTGCTACGCTTCAACTATGCCCTTCATATCATTTAACTAGACTTTTCATTTAAAAATATGGTGTGTTTGATAGTATATTATTTAGTTCTTTCTTAATTCATATTATTTTCTATTTTATCACTCATTTAGTAAACAAGTTTTGCTACCAATGCTGTAATGTTAACATTTTATGTAGGCGTCACCTAATCATCAACTAAGAAGAAATAGTGGTGTGAATTACGTAGCAATGCAAGGCATTGATGACCTATATGTTCAATAGGATGATGTAGTTCACAGCATCAATCTTCATGGTTGATACACCAAAGTTTGAAATTCCTTTCATAGAAATCACAAAAAATGAACTATAACAAACATAAAAAAAAAATGAGCATCTTGAACGGATAAATGTGAAATGCAACTCATGTTACCACCTCCCCATGTTTCAATTATATAAACATCTCACACCATTTTCATTATTGCAACACAGAATGCAAAATAATAATAATAATAATAATAATAATAATAATATTTCAATGCCATAGTTCTCCAATGTAGGCACATGGGTAACATTATGTAGTCATTGATGCAAACTCCTACATTGTTGGGATTGTTGAAGTTGGACAACACAGAAAACTATAGGACTGTGGACCTTCCAAACAAGACAGACCATTGATTGTGACTGTTCAATCTGTGCTCTTTTTCATCTACACATTAATTCGACTCAATATAGTACTACAATATTATAGATATTACCCACTCCGAAAGTCTTCTTGAAATTAGGGTTGTACAAAAAACACGCAAAATCGTAAACTGAACCTAAACAGTTGATTTAAAACCGTTGGTTCGAGTCCATGTGGATCTATAATTTTTATTCCCTCAAACCGAACCAAACCGTTTTAAAATGGTTTGGTTTAGGCTTCAATTTTCAAAAACAACACAAAATTGAACTGAACGGTTTTTTTAATTTTTTAATTAAAGCATTAATTTTATTAATTTATAAATTTTACATTTTTCACTTTTGAGGAAAAAAATACCAATTTAGCAATACAAATTACAACTAGTCCATTGAAATAATCATAGAAAGTAAATTATGTTAATCATTATTGGCCCATGGTTTAACAAATTCACAACACATGTCCTCACTCGATATCTAAATTAAACTAATATTATTCCAAATCATATGAAATAAAAAAAAATATATATATACATTTTCGACAATCCAAATCATAATTTAACAAATTTACAACAGCAAATCATGTTCAAAGTTTCAAAAGCCCTAAAATAAACTCTTATTTTCCAAACATTTGAAGCTTGTCTGTCACTGGTGAACGAATCGTCAGTCGCTTTTTGTCTGTTAGTTTGCTAATTTCTACTTGAACCTCCTCATTCTCTCTTCTCTCTCGATAAGTTTCAGGCTCTCATTCAAACTATTTTTCTATTGTTATTTCTTTTATTTATTGTTTTTGAACTTATTACACACTCGTGAGTTGTGGTTTGAATAGAAAAATGACAATTTGTGTGCCTAGATGATTAATGAACTTGTTTGTATTTTGGAAAGAATGAACAACACAGCGTAGTGAGTGTGAAAATGTTAAAATTCCATAACTACTATTACCACCTTCTACCTTCATAAAAGTAGCTAAAGAATGAAATTCGTCAATTTTCAAATAAGCCTATATTCTATCAATCTTTATACATCTAAACTTATTTAGTTCAATTTTTATTTAACATCTCACTAACAACACGAAAGGAGTTTTAACCAAACAATAATATCAGAATGTGACTCTACTTTTACCAACCATTGTGTGACAATATGAAAGTCAAACAAGAAAAGGTAAATAAAACTGAAAAAAGATGTATTTGTTTATTAACATCTTTTAGTAGCCAACTCTGATAATAATTTATTCATGGATTTCATGATAAATATGAATGTAATTTAACATTTAACATTATTAGTTATCATTTAAACTTATATGTTAACTTATTTTAAATATATTATTACAATGCCAATAAATAAACTATAGATTAAAATTGAACCAAACCGCAAATTATGGTTTGATTTGGTTTGGTTTGAAAAAAAAAATGATTTTGTTTGGTTTGGAAAAATTTCAAAGCTCATAAAATGGTTTGAGTTGAAAATATAGCACAAACTATTCAAACCGAACTGTTTTCACCCCTACCTGAAAACATTGTTGATTTCAATTCATCATCGAAGCTGCTTTCTTGAATTTGAGTTCACATATATTCATCATTTTCAATAAAATTCCTCCATTTTTATTGTCATTCAACATTTCAGATACAGATGAAAATGAGGAAAGTTTCTATTCAAGTAATTTATGATTCTTTTTCGAAACATGCAGTATTTTCGGTTTATTTTTTAGTCTAATCGTACAAAATGAATTTTTTTTATATTTTGAAGGTATTTATGAATTTTTTTGCAAATCGAATTGATTTGATTTCAGAATAGCCCAAAACCGACAATGTCAATTGGGCCGGATTGGACCAAAATAGTCCCAACCCGATCCGTCGCCCACTCTACCTCTAAATTATACGTATTAAATTTTTTAGTCTACGAATTATTTCGAAAACTTTTCATATGTACAACGCTTCATAAAGCCGGTCTAAAAAAGGTTTCAGAATACACAGTCACAGAGGATCTTTTACGCACACCTATATAAAGCCTGCAAACACACTTTTCCTTCTCCTTCCCCTTCATGGATTCTTCTCCTTCTCGGATACTACTCCAATCCTCACCATTTACTCGTGTATATATATACGTAAAATTATCCACATAGTGTACCTGTTATACACAAAATTTAGTCATTTTATCTGATTTTGCAGTTCTTCAATTTCGATTGTTTTAAAGTGTTCATTGATAATTGATTTGATATGGCGGCGATGGAACCTGTTCAGCCACCGGCGGTTCAGAATCAGTCTGCGACTATGGCGGCGAGTTTGATAGGAGTGACGCCACCGTCGACTCCGCAGATAGCGACGGCGGCGGTAGGGGCCGGAGGTTTCTCGAACTCGTCTCTATATGTAGGTGATCTAGAGGCTACGGTGGATGAGTCGAAGCTGTACGATTTGTTCAACCAGGTGGCTCCTGTGATCTCGGTTAGGGTTTGTAGGGATCAGGCTCGCAGGACCTCCCTTGGCTATGCCTATGTTAATTTCGGCACTTATCAGGATGGTAATAACCGATCTGCACATCGTATTTGGTGTTTTATAATGTTGCATTGCGTTGATTTGTGCTGTTCGATTATTATTTATGGGGCGTGTTTGCATGCATGTATAAAATTACATCCACACACGCAAATCAATAGGAAAACATATTGAAATTTGTGGGTTTTTAGAATGTTATTAATCCTGGCTAGTAATATAAATGTATTATTTAATTTATTACGACTCATCCACAAATTTTGTAGTTAATATACTGTTTCACTTTTTTATTATTTTAATATAGGTATCAAGACTTGTTTTTGCATATGGTTGTGAAATAAGATGAAAGTGGAACGGGGTGGTTCCTTTTTATTTTTCAATTTTTTTTAAAGGGTCTAGTTAAAGTTTTTGTTCGTCTGAGAGTGGTCCATATCATCAGTGCCTCTCTAGATTTTGTTACAATTAATGCCTTTAATAGGTGAATTATGTAACTATGTTATATAAATTGGAATAAACAATAACTTTTCGGTATGAAAATATGTATATGAGTGCTTTTCGAAACATGTTGCTTTAGAAAATATGTGCTTAAATGAAATGGTTCCTTTTTAAATTTTTTATTCTCTAGTTGGAAGAGCAGATCTAGTGACAACTTGATGAAACGTTATAGTAATGTCATTAGTTGATGGTTTCAAAAACTATAATGTGTAGCATAGAATTAATTAGCTAGCATTTAATAGTTAAAATGCAAAGATCAGTTCCATGCAGCTGTATGGTAATTATGGGAGTATACTTTGATTTTATTATCTTTTATGCTTTGAGGAAAAAAATAAAAAAATAAAATTCCTAATTGTTTTCGGTTTAAACATTGCAGCATCTCATGCAAGAGAGGTTTTGAATTTTACCCCTATCAATGGGAAGCCTATTAGGATTATGTTTTCTCATCGAGATCCTTTTCTGAGGAAAACTGGACGTGCTAATATTTTCATAAAAAACTTGGATGATTCAATTGATAACAAGGCACTGTATGACACTTTTGCTGTCTTTGGGACAGTGCTTTCATGCAAGGTAGCTGTTGACAACAGTGGTTGTTCAAAAGGTTATGGTTTCGTACAGTTTGATCAGGAGGAAGCTGCACAAAATGCAATCAGGCGACTTAATGGCATGTTGATTAATGATAAACAAGTATATGTTGGCACTTTTGTTCGTCGACAGGAACGAAATAGCGTGGATGGGTCACCAATATTTACTAATGTTTATGTGAAAAACTTCTCTGAAACTACTATGGAGGTGGACCTTAAGAAAACTTTTGGAAAGTTTGGTTCCATCACTAGTGCAGTTGTTATGAAAGACACAAATGGTAAATCCAGATGTTTTGGCTTCGTAAATTATGAACACCCAGAAGCTGCAGCTGCTGCTGTTGAGAACTTGAATGGATCATTATTAGAGGACAAGGTTTTGTATGTTGGAAAGGCTGAAAAGAAAGTTGAAAGAGAGGCAAAATTGAGAGCCAAATTTGAACAAGAAAGAATTAGTAGATATGAGAAATTGAAAGATACGAACTTATACTTGAAGAATCTTGATGATGGCATGAATGATGAAAAACTGAAGGAGTTATTTTCAGAGTTTGGAACCATCACATCGTGCAAGGTATTTGATATTGTAAATCATCGCTAGACCTTGTTTAAGTCAGTTGATTTTTTTATGGATGATATTTTTATACTATGCTCATTACCTGTTTGGTTCTTACTGCAAATTTTCCTATTAAAAATTACTTAGGTCATGCTTGATCAAAATGGAGTGAGCAAGGGTGCAGGTTTTGTGGCCTTTTCCACTCCAGAAGAAGCTACGAAAGCTGTATGATAACTTTCTGCTTTTGCTTTTTAATTTCAAAGTTCTCATTCTTTCTTTCATCATGAGCTTTAATGTGGTGCACCGGAATATTTTGTTTTTACGGAATCTCATGCACATTATGTATAATTTATCTTTCAGTTGAGTGAAATGAATGGGAAGATGATTGGAAGAAAACCTCTATACGTTGCTGTTGCTCAGCGGAAAGAAGAAAGAAAGGCTTGGCTTCAGGTGAATTTACATTCTTTAACATCAGCAAAATCGTTTATATGTTTGAAATGTTGATTCTTCTGTCATGGAAATAATGGATAGCATATAGAGAAGTTATTTTTATCCTTAGGCTGGGACTCTGGTTTCAGTTTACCATACAAACTATTTAGACCACTTGTTGTACTTCTTATAAAAAGTCGCCATGTCTAATTCTGTTCAATATTCCCATCCTTTCTCTTCATTGAATATTTCTAGCAATTTAATCTCTCTCGGAAATTCATTTCGAAGTATTTTTCATCTTTTCAGTTAACGTTATATCTTTTGTCCGATCTTAGAGTGGCGTCCTTTATCCATCACTCTGCATATAGAAGATGGTGAAGCGCTACTTATATATTAACTAATTTTTGTAATTGTATAATTCCATTTTATTTATGCAACCCATAATGTGGAGTTACGCATGGAAAAACAGTCATGTTTTAGTCGTGTCTAGCTTTTTCTCCATTAAGGATGAGACCAAAATTCCTCAAAGAAGATTGAATGATTTCATTTGTATTATCGTAATTTACTTTCATGTTCGTTTGTTTTCAGGCGCATTTTGCTCAGATGCGAGCACCTGTGGGGATGTTACCTTTACCTGCAATGCCTGGATTTCACCTTGGTGCAGCTAGGTTTTCCCCACAGCAGCTCTATTTTGGTCAAGTTGGTCCTGTGATGCCACCTCAGGCTGTTGGGTATGGGTTTCAGCAGCAGCACGTGCCTGGAGTACGTGCAGGTCCTCCAAATTTCGTCATGCCTTTCCGACATCAACGACAAGGACCACCTGGACAGCATGTGGGTCCGAGGAGAGTTGGAAACACTCAACACCAGCAACAGGCATGTCATTGTTTCCTCAATTTATACCTCTTTATCTTCTTGTTTTTCTACAACATTCTAATGGTCCTCTTTATCATGTGTGTTAATGCATCAGGTGCAGCGCAACTTAAACCAAGGTTTTAGCAGATACATGATCAATGGACGAAATGGCATAGATCCTCCCATAGTCCCAACAACAACTTCCTCAAGCATTCAGCCTGCAGGGCCAGTGTCCAGTTCAACACTTGCTTCTGCTTTGGCTTCTGCTACTCCAGAAAATCAGCAAATGGTAAGTCCTGTTTTTCGGCTTTCTTCTCACTATGCCTCAATTTTATTAGGCTTATATGTCACATCATCTTTGTTGTGATCTTGCTTCCAGTGGTCCTTACTTGTTTGCATTCGTTTGCTATTGCAGATGCTAGGTGAACAGCTTTATCCCCTTGTGGAACGTGTTGAATGCAATCTTGCAGGAAAAGTGACGGGGATGTTGTTAGAGATGGACCAAACAGAGGTGCTTCACCTTATTGAGTCTCCAGATGCTCTGAGGAAGAAAGTGGGCGAGGCTATGGATGTTCTTCAGTCAGTTGCATCATCTGACACTGGCGACAACCTTGGTTCCTTGTCCTAAAATGAAATATCACAGCCTAATTTTGCTGTTATTATGCTTGTGTCTTCTTGAACACTACTTTCTTAGGGAGTTGATAATCGTTTGTTCTAACTAATTTTGTGGGATGTCTAATATATTGAGTTAATTATGTATGGTTTTTAGGTCTAGGGTCCTTTTTCTGTTTAGTTTCTTAGTTATGAACCAAGCAGGTTGTATTTTCTTAATTTGTTTTTGAGGATTTTTAGTTAGTGCAAGACAAATAATTTAAAATAAATAAAATAGTAGGTTAGCAAATCTTAAGGTTGTTCGATCTGCTGTTCTTTTATCCAATCCTTCTTCATGGATGGAAATGCATCTTTAGCTTCTACTTGTATATAATTTGCTTGTTCTATTCTTTTCCTTCAAAAGCTTAGGTGAGCATAAATTTATCCCTATGAATCTGTGATCCATAGAACCAGGGCAGTGGCAGTTGAGATCCAAATGACTAGGGGAAACTAAGCCTTTGTTTGGTCTCCATTTTAATTTTATTTTTCTCTTCCTCATTCTCAACTGCACATTTTTCAATAAAATAATATTACACGTAAACCCTTTTTTTTTTTTTTTTTTTTTTTTTTTTTTTTTACCCACACATTTTTCAAAAAAAAAAAAAAAAAAACTCCAAAATGCATTTTTCCCAAAACATCATTAAACAAGCTTGTCTTAGCAGCTGCAAATTTGAACTGTTAAAAGAGTACAATTTCCATTTCTTGAACCTTAGTTGGATAGTTACACAAGAATCACTGGGATTAGATGCAGAAAAGAATTGAAGCAATCCCCTAAAATTTGACTGCAATGACACAAAATGGAACATATGAGAATTTGTCACTTGATTTGTAAAACTTTACATCCTATTATTGAGAATTGCAAGCCAATGTTTTTTCAGAAGCTAAAGGAAATCTGGGTGGATGTCCTCTTCTACCCTTTGATCATTCAACAAGGTCTCAAACTCATCGTTCTTCCACTGATTAGATGACTGGTGGAGAGAGGCTTTTCCCTCTCTGATCAGCAGGTTTTCATCATCATTTTCTGTCATGTAATTGCTCCATTTTGAAAGTGGTCCCTTGGCTGTTGTGTGTGGATTTAAAGGTGTTGCCCTGAATGCAAATTTTTCATCAAAATCTCGTGTAATGTTAGTACTCAGCTTTGGAAGTGATCCTTTGCTTGCTGTTGTTGGCTTGTAAAGCGATGATACCCCATTTACTAAAGTGCGGCTGTCTTCTTGAATATCCACCTTGAAGCGACTCCATTTGGAAGCCGTATCTGAGGGCTGGAACTTCATAGTCCCTCTATTGGTTATTTCCTGTAATTCAACTGGTTCCACATCTGTAGAGACAAATTGCAATCAGTGCACTTAAACTGAAGCCCTCTTTGTAATTCAAGTGTTTTTTTTTCCACCAGTGGTCATCTGTCAATCAAACAAATTATCGTTCACTATACAACTAAGCACAAAATACTCTGATGTATTTGATTTACCTCGAGAATTGGCAGTACTTTGCCTTTTCGCAAACACTGGTTTCAAAAGCTTTTCACCGTCTTTGAAGCCTGATCCATCAGTAGAATAATTCTTCAGTTTAGGCTTCTTGAACAGAGCCTTTGGCATCTCGGTCACAATCATGGGCTCAAATCCATCCACTGATAATCCAAAATAATGTACTAGAAATTAGATCACATTTGATTCAAACTTAAAAATTACAATGAATTTAATTGATGACCTTCAGTAGGCTCAAGTTTTCCAGAGTCTTCTTCATAATCAACATACTCGGACCAATCAGTCCTTTTCTTCTTTTTTCCCTCATTGCTTGGTGACTGGTTTCCAATATCTCCAATTTGTTCATTTTCTTCTTCATTGTAGTTCTGTACGAACAATTTTTCTTCTTTCTGCTCGACTAATTGGCGAGAAATATTCGAATTCTGAACGAATTTGCGGATGTCCTTGGCCATGAACCCCTTAGCAAACACTTTCTGTACAGATTGCTTTTCGTTGCACACCACGCACGTCCATTTGTTGCTACTCTTCTTCTGCTGCTTCACCTGTAAAATTTATATGATATATTGCATTTTTCTACAGCCTACATATACATAATCAAACCTGCATATACATTATTTTATATGAATGTAAAGTAGATAGAAAAAAAGTTGCCTGCATAGTAAAGCATTGGAAACACTGGACGGCGATGAAGGTCGTCGGCATCTTGCTTGAGCCAGATTCTACATGATTATCAGATTGTGAGGGCAGGGGGATAATGTTGAGTTCTTTAATTTATAAGTGATTATTAAGAATCGGTAAACAAATTGAAAAATGATATCACTGTCCTAATACGTGACAAAATCTGGTGACAACATTTGAACTTCAGATAAAAGAAGATAAAATCCTCAGCTTCGGTGCTATTATATACTATCGGAAATTTTATCAGAATCTTTATGTGATTACCAGAAATAAATATAGCAGAAAATCTAGAAATAGCGAAGGGGCGTTACCTGAAATTTTCGGTTATGAAATTGAAGAAAAATTGAGAAAAATGTTCAGTTTAACAGAGATCTAAACGGCTATCGATCTTCAAAAATTCCACAAAGCAACCATGAATGAGATTAGAGAGAATTGCTTCAGGCCCACGTAATTTGGCGGGAAATTATTTTGAAATTTAGACTGGGGGAAATTTTATTCCACGTATTTCGAATTTTGGATTTGGAATTTGGATAACTGGGTGCTGGCTGGTTTGGGTTTGGAAGAGTCGGGTAGGGATTTGGGTGGGTACAACTTAGGGTTGGGCCCGAGACTGAGTTGGGTTTGGTTTGGTTTGGTTTGAGTTAAGGGTCCTTTATAATTTAACCTTAATAAAAAAAATAATACAAAATTCGGTTATCTCAAATTTGAACTCAGATCTAAACTCATGTTCAAGATTTTTATGATGGTGGTTTGTAGTGTTGTCGGGTTAGTATTTTGTAGTGGTGTTTTGGTGAAGGTATGTAGTGAACTAGAAGGGCTGTGAGTTGATAAATGAAGATGGGATTGGATCCATATCCATGCTTTTTTGTGTCTCCACAGACCCTTGACTCTAGAAGGAAGTTTTAGGGTTGGATGCCTTTTCATCATGGTGGCAATGGCTTTTTATCTCACATCAACACTATAATTTTGGTTGGAGAAAACTGAATCTATCAATTGATAACATTAAGTTCCAATTGTGTCAAGTGGTGGTGAATCGTGTCAATGGTGGTAGTGATGAAGACAGTACTGTTGGTTCTGGGGTTTATGTGAGCGGTATGATGGTTGTTGATAATTGTATCAAAACAAATTAATGTTTAACCCGCATGAGCGTGATCAAACTATCGATATGTGAACTTTAAAGTGTAGTACAAAACCACAAAATCAAGGTATCAAAATGAAACAAGAAAAGGAGAAGAAAAAGAAATGAAATCTGAGGCAAGTGATGACACTTTCTCTTTAAGACAATATTGCCCGTTATGGTGCTCACGGTTGACGGCACTTGTCTCTCAAGATACAACGAATATTTAATCTTGAAGTAGCAGCACTTCACACCACAAGAACCGACGAACCAATGAAATTTCCCCCCTCTACAAAGGGATTTTCTGCAAGAAAAAGGGAGAGAGATTTTGCAAGAGAAGAAGAGTGCTCAATGCAAAATATGAGTTAGTATACCCTTAGGGACGTCCAAGCGGTCCTATTTATGGAGGAGAAAGGGATGTGGGTCAAATCGTGCAATCTTTCGAATAGTTGCAACATTCCATCTTCGCTAGCTTTTCGCTCGAGCAGCGCTTAAAAAATCCGAGCAGAACATACTTCGCTGGAATCTCGCTCTAGCGGATATCAAGCGACAGTGTATTTTAGCCCTTTTCCACCGTATTTTCTTCCAATCTTTGGACCGCAATTTCTCATTCACCCGGAATTGATTTCTAATGTCTAAATATACTACGATCATCTACTCGATGAGTAGAACAAGTTGGCCATTTTACTTTTGTAATTTGACCATCGGATCAAATTCGAATATTCGGTCGAAGTTGACACATTAGTCACACTTTTCGATTTCAATTTTTACGTAACCAATTTTCGATCTTTCATGTTAATTTGGAAACCAATTTCCAATAATTTCCTACATGAATGGAAATTCGAGTTTGCAAATGATATGGGACACAATACATGCAATTGTAGAGAGAGAGCGGAGAAATATTGCATCAGGCAAGATAGCTTTCGGCTTTGAACATTCCTAGTGAAATATTATCAAGCTTACTTGGTTAGTTGGTGAACGTGATGTCTTGAACCGACCAGCCGTTAGTGTAAGCCAAGACAATAATACTCACATAATATTTTCCCTAATTCTGTTATTGGTTCTCATGACTTGGTTCATTTTGGCTCTGAGTCCCTCTTGGTTCTGCAAGCGTCTTAGAGAATTTAAGCCTTGAATAATTCTCATTGAAGCGGCCTCACTTTACACTCATATATGTGACCTCCTATTAAGAGTATTCTGTCATACTCCACTTGACTTAATCAAGATATAGGAATCATTAAAAGATTATCCTAACCTCTTCCAATTCTGCAGAAAACACTTTGGTATCATAGGAATGAGTTAGGAAATCATTTCCTAAGTGTTTCATGGAATCCTCATAACTTAGTGTCCTTTTAAACCAAGATCTTGGGATCTCCAGTCAACAAGGTAGGGTTACCATTACAAGGACTCTAATGTAGTAGGCTTTAATTTCATTCCTCTCGATAGGGAACGTATTTGATCTCTTGGCAAACCTTTCGTAAGCGGATTCGCAACATTCTCCTTTGATTTCACATAATCTATGGAGATGACGCACATTGAGATCAGTTGCTTAATAGTATTATGTCTCCGACGTATATGTCTAGACTTACCATTGTATGCTGCTTTTAGTCCTTTCAATAGTCGATTGATTATCGCAATGTATGCTTATGGCAGGTACCGGCTTAGGCTAACATGGAACATATTCTAAGAAATTTCGAAGCCATTCTACTTCTTCACCACCTTTGTCCAAAGCAATAAACTCTAATTCCATAGTTGATCGAGCTATACACGTTTGCTTTGAAGATTTCCATGAGATAGCAGCTCCACTAAGTGTAAACACATAGCCACTTGTGGATTTGGAATCCTTCATATCAGATATCCAATTCGTGTCAAAATATCCTTCTAATACCGTAGGTTATTTTGTGAAATGTAATACATAGGTCATGGTATACTTCAAGTACCCAAGGACCCTTATCAATGCCACCCAATGATCATGGCTTGGATATCGTGAATCTACTAAGTTTATTCACCGCAAACGCAATGTCCGGTCGAGTGCAGTTTGTAACATACATTAGACTGTTAATTATTTATGAATATCTTAGTTGTGACACGCTTTCTCCCTTATTTTTGACCAAGTGTAGACTTGTGTCAATAGGAGTCTTTGCAGGACTTTCCTCAAATACTTCAAACTTCTTAAATATTTTCTCAACGTAATGAGATTGGGAAAGTACGATTCCTTCCGATGTTCTAGAGATTTTTATCCCTAGTATTACATCTGCCACACCCATGTCTTTCATGTCAAAATACCTTGCTAGCATTTTCTTGGTGTTTGTCAACATTTCGTGACTATTGCCCATTATCAACAGATAGTCTACATATAGACTTACTATCACATAGGCATTCGGTGTATTCTTCACATAGACACACTTGTCACATTCATTTATTTTAAATTTATTTGACAACATAATTTTGTCAAATTTTTGGTATCATTGCTTAGGAGCTTGTTTTAAGACATTTAAGGACTTAACAAGTTTACATACTTTATGGCTTTCATTTGGAGACACGAACCCTTTATGTTGTTTCATATATATCTCCTCTTCTAACTCACCGTTTAGAAATGTCGTTTTTACATCTATTTGATAAATCTCAAGGTTATGTATTGCCACAATTGCAATTAGCAACCTTATCGAGGTGATTCTCGTTACAGGTGAGTAGGTATCAAAAAAGTCAAGTCATTCTTTTTGCCTATATCTTTTGACAACCAATCTAGCCTTATATTTTTCAATGGATCCATCCGATTTCAATTTCTTTTTGAATATCCATTTACACTCTAAAAGCTTATTTTCGGGAGGTAAATCTATCAATTCCCAAGTATGATTTTGCATTATGGAATCTATCTCGCTATTGATAGCTTCCTTCCAATGCGGTGCTTCCGGGGTAGACATCGCTTCCTTGTAAGTCCTTGGATCATTTTCTACCATATAAGTTAGAAAATCCTGACCAAATGATGTGGATGTTCGAGCCTCCTTACTGCACCTTGGTTCTTCCTCATTTGAAGATCCATTTACAGATTCATTAGTTCTCTTATTTGAACTTGACGTTTCCCTATCTTTGTAAGGAAATATGTTTTCAAATAATACTGCATTCTTTGATTCAATTATGGTACCCTCGTGTACATCTTGAAAATTGAATTTGTGTACTAGAAAACGATATGCACTACTATTATTGGCGTATCCAATAAATATGCAATCGATCGTTTTGGGACCAATTTTAATTTATTTAGGCTTGAGTACTTCAACCTTTGCCAAACACCCCTACATTTTTATGTGTTGGTAGGAAGAAGAATGACCTTTCCATAACTTATATGGCGTCTCTTTCATTTTTTAAGCGATATACAATTGAGAAGACTATTTGCCGTTAAGATAGCCTCTACTCACAAGTTTTGAGGTAAATCCGAACTTATTAACATTGCATTCATCATCTCTTTAAGAGTTCGATTTTTGCGTTCAGCAATTCCATTCGATTGAGGAGAGTATGGAGCCGTTGTTTGATGAATGATTCCATGTTCGGAACAGAATTCTTCAAACGATGCCCCATATTCACCTCCTTGATCACTACGAATATTTTTAATTCGTTTGTCTAGTTGCGTTTCAACTTCAACCTTATATTGTTTAAATGCATTTAAAATTTCGTCTTTGCTTCTTAAAAGAAAGATATAACAATACTTTGTACAATCATCAATAAAAGTTACAAAGTATTTTTTACCGCCTCTAGTTTGAACGAATTTTAAATCACATATATCATTATGGATTAATTCTAGAGGTATCGTGCTCCTTTGAATTGAATGGAACGGTATTTTAGCCAATTTTGCTTCAACACTTATTTCGCATTTGTGATTAGGATTAATTTCAAGCGCCGAAATTACACTTTGATTCATAAGTTTGCACAACGAATTATAATTCGCATGTCCTAATCGAATATGCCATAAACAAGACTCAAGCAAGTAAACAGAATTTGTTACTTTATTCATAATGCCTTGTTTCGGTAAAACAGTTAGAACGTTCATCTTGAACATTTCGTCACACATGAATCATTTTCCTACATATATCTCATTCTTAGACAACACAAATTTATCGGATACAAATACAAATTTGAAACCATTTTTACTAAGAAGAGATTTGAACACAAGATTCTTTCGAATATCCGGCACATGTAGGAGGTTGTTGAGGACTAGCTCTTTTCCAGATGTTATCTTTAAAGTGACTTTGCCTAGTCCTTTGATCTTGGAACTTGCAGCATTTCCCATGAATAGTTGTTCCCCTTTCAGTTCTTGATAGTTGGAGAACATTGCCCTATCAACACACACATGATGGGTTGCACCGGTATCTACCCACCATTCCCTTGTGTTTCCAACCATGTTGCATTCGGACACAACTGCAGATAAACTCATCTCCTACATTTCTTCGGAAAGGTTGTCCTTCTCAATCATGTTGACTTGAGCAGGTTTCCTAGGCTTTCGACATTCATTTGAACGATGTCCGGCCTTTCCACAGTTATAGCATTTCCCTTTGAACTTTTTCACCTTCTTGGAGTTATCTCTACGCGGTGCATCGTTTGAGATCTTTCGTTTCTTGTTCAAAGGCCTTTGTTCTGTTTCAACAAAGTTTGCTCCAAGTTGGTCAATAGTTTTCCTTTCATTTTTCCTATTGTCTTCTTCAATTCTCAAGCGGACGATCAATTCTTCCAAATTCATCTCCTTACATTCGTGCTTGAGATATTTTGAAATCTTTCCACATAGGAGGGAGTTTCTTGATGATGGCAACCACTTGAAAGGATTCACTTAGTTCCATCTTTTCGGCATGTATGTCGTGCAAGAGGACTTGAATTTCTTGCACTTGGCTTATCACAGTTTTGGTATCTACCATTTTGTAGTCCAAAAACTTGCCCACAATGAATTTCTTGGTTCCGACATCCTCGATCTTGTATTTATTTTCCAAATAATCCCACAATTCCTTGGCTGAGTTTTTAGAACTATACGCTACATATAGTGTATTGTCCAACCCATTCAAAATATAGTTTTTGCATAGAAAGTCCGAGTGCTTCCATGCATCCAACGCAATAATTGATTCACGATTATTTTCTCCCTCTTGTACAGATGACGCGGTCTCTTTTAAGAACTTTGCCAAATTGAGGGTAGTGAGATAGAATAACATCTTTTGTTGCCATCTCTTAAAATCTACGCCACTAAATTTTTCCGATTTTTTACCATGCGAAATTGAAGTGTTTTATAGCCATGGGCGTAACCATATTTGTACCGTTTTGACGTGAAGCCTCTACAGTACTCATTTCTATTACAAAAACAGAAGATTATCACAACGCAAAGTAAGGGAAATGAACAGTGCATAAAGACTATTCCAAAATGAAGAACAAAGTATGGGTTAAACCAAAACAAAACTACAACAACCACTGACAAATATTGTCTTAAGATTGTTGGTTCCGGAGTTTATGTGAGCGGTATAATGGTTGTTGATATTTGTATCAAAACAAATTAATGTTTAACCAGCAGGAGTGTAATCAAACTATCGATATGTGAACTTGAAAGTGTAATACAAAACCACAAAATCAAGGTATCAAAATGAAACAAGAAAAAGAGAAGAAAAAGAAATGAAATGCGAGGCAAGTGATGACACTTTCTTCTTAAGACAATGTTGCCCCGCTATAGTGCTCACGGTTGACGACACTTGTCTCCCAAGATACAACGAAGTTTAATCTTGTGGTAACAGTACTTCACACCACAAAAACTGGCGAACTGACAGAATTTCCCCCTTTACAAAGGGATTTTATCCAAGAAAAAGAGAGAGATATTTTGCAAGAGAAGAAAAGTACTCAATGCAAAATATGAGTTGACGTACCCTTAGGGACGTCCAAGGAGTCCTATTTATAGAGGAAGAAGGGGTGTGGGCCAAATCGTGCAATCTTTCGAATAGTTGTAATATTCTATCTTTGCTAGCTTTTCGTTCGAGTAGCTTTTCAAAAATCCGAATAGACTTTTCGCTCGAATTTCACTCAAGCGAGTGAGACTGTCGCTCGAGCGAACATCGAGCGACTGCGTATTTTAGCCATTTTCCACCCTATTTTCTTCCAATCTTTGGACCGCAATTTCTCATTCACCCAGAATTGATTTCTAATGTCCAAATATACTACGATTATCTACTCGATGAGTAGAACAAGTTGGCCTTTTTTACTTTTGTAATTTGACCATCGGATCAAATCCAAATATTCGACCAAAGTTGACATGTTAGTCACACTTTTTGATTTCAATTTTTACTTAACCAATTTCCGATCTTTCATGTTAATTTGGAATCCAATTTCAAACATGATGGTGGGAGAGCGAGGGCTATGATGGACTTGTTTGGATCTTTTTATCGAATTAAAAGGATTAAGGAGTATATGTGAAAATTTAAAACTTATTAGAGCATATGGTGTAAACACTGCTTTAAATTAAGCTTAGCCAAAGCTATAAAGAGGTACTAATTATTCGTACATAAAAAAAATTAACAAATCGTAAAATATGTTAAAATATGTCAAATTATAGCATATATAACTAGAATAATGTTATAATGATAAATTATCGGTAAATTTGCTAGTTTATTTGGAATAATGAGATTGAATATATATTTTTTTTGGTAGAGATTTTATTAATTGATTTTTTGATCGTTAGAGATAAAGTGAGTCTTGTCTGTGAGAGAAAAATTTAAAAATGACGACTAAAATAGTAAAATAATAATTAAAAAAATTGATTTTAAATGAATTTTAAGACGTACCAATCATGTTCATTATTTTTATTTTTATGAGAGGAGAGGAGACCTGGTCACAAGAAAAAGAGAAATGTAAGGATTATGATTATCGCATCATGGATGATTAATCGACACGATAATAAATAATATATTGAGCAACCAATGATATTCACCCGGACAGATCCTGGGTATTCGGACCCGATCGGAAAGAGTACAAACGTTAACGCCGTTATGTCTCTTTTCCCCTTTCCTTTATTTTTCCGAAAAGGAAAAGTGAAAAAAGCAATTTTCGCGAACACAATCAAAGACCAGATTACAGATTAGATCTGGCTTTCTTTACCTCTCTTTTTTTCACACACTAACACACACTCTTTTTTCTATCATTCTCACCACTATTTGAATATCACTCAACGCTTCTAGATCTATCTCTTTCTCTCCGCTTCTCATTGTTTTTTTAACACTCCTGGAAATGTAGTTGTTGTTTGCTTCAGGTACTGCATTTTACTCTGATTTCTTTGATTTGTGGCTTTTTTGGGAGTTATCTTTTGTGGGTCTGTTTCTTTTTTTGCTTTTCTTGGATGCTCTTTTAGAGTTCTTGTGTTTCAGTTTGGCATTTTACTCTGGTTTCTTCGATGGGTTGCTGTTTTTTGGAAGTAATCTTCTATAGGTCTGTTTTTGTTTTTTTTTGTTAGATTCTTTTCAATTTCTAGTGTTTCTGTTTGAGTTTTGAGCACGAGAATCAGCTCACTGAGGGTGTGTATTTTTGTATTTTCTTTTTTTTTTTTTTTTTTTTCTTGGGTGATGATGTGATGTGATGGAGAGGAATTCGGATACAGGTTGAAAAATATGCATGATGATGGCGAATTCTTAGTTTTTTATTTCTAGTGGTGTCGCTTTCGTGTATATATAGAGAAAAAAGAACTTCTTTTCTATGAGAATTAGGTGGTAATAGAGTAGTATTATTTGTTTCAAAGGCTGAAGAAAACCAGCAAATTAATTCCCTAAAGATGATGGGCGAGATTTGAAACATCTGAACTGCTGGAAGTTGTATTATTAGTCTTGGAATAAACAAAATCGTCTTGCTTTTGCTTTGATTTTGACTCATCTGATTTGCTAAAAGCTCGTTACTATTGTTCAACAAAATTGACTTGGTATGTATTCACAGAGATCCATTTAGACAAATTATATAGATCTGTGAACATTCCAGTTTTCTACTAGCCAAATTCTCGATTTTTATGAACATGTGTGAATATACCGGCATTTTAATAGAAGCGTACTTCAGAAGAAGAGAGACTATAGGATTTTAATACCCAACCATTTTCCTTGATGATAATCCTAAAGTGTCTATTGTGGATGCTAGGTTCAAATTTTTGGGTGCTTTTATGTCTACTAATATGAAACATTTGGATGCACAGATAGGTGAAGAAGAATTGTGAGGCATACTGGGTTGAAAGTATAAGGGGTTGAATATTTATACCTCGAGAAAACAAAGGGAGATATCACTACTTGGTGCTTCACACTTGAACGCATCAATGGGGTCTGAGCAGACTCGTTTTCTGCAGCCTCAGCAACCACCAGCACCTCGGGTATTTTGATTTCCAGACATATTTCATTACACATATACTTGCACAGAAAGATGTAAATATATGGACCTCGTTAGCAGTACAATTTAGTGCGTTTTATGTGTGTGAGAAGATTTGATCTCGAAGAAATCTTCAACTTATTTTCAATTTTCACCTTCCCTTGTCGTATTGGCCTTCCAATTTTATGCTATTTAATACAACAAGATCTATTACTTAGACTTTGGTGTCATGGACAATCAAGATTTTTATAACTGAAACCTCCTGTGGATGTGAACTTCAGATTTTTCTTTCAGATATTACGATTGCATATAATCATTTTGTTATTGTCAATTCAAGAGATCACAGCGGATGTAGATTTTTCACTTAGAGGGTGTGGTATCCAGCCAAGAAATATTCAGATTTACTATTACCTTGAATATGAGGGGGATTGCTTTTCTGGTGGAAGGCTGTGGATTACCCGTATATATTATTCACTTTACTTGTATATGTGATTCAAAATGCATCTTTTCATCAAGCACTGGTATAAACACCTGTGTGTTTAAATGTGCAGATGTGGTGTTCTAGTGCCTGAGAATTATCTATTTTCTATTGTATTAACAAAATTTCGAGCTTTATTTCTTGTAAACAGTTCTCTAAAAACAACTTGATGCATGTAAGCAATGTAAGAGGAAACGATGCTTTTGATTTATAGGAGACTAACAAATAAGGCCAAAGTTACTATAAAACAAATTATTAAGATACCAAATCCCTGAAATAGCTAGGATCGAAAAAAAATCAAGTGCGGAAGTGTACGTACCACTTTTTCACTCTGCAGTGCAGTGAATAGTTTAATGGAAAAGTCGGGTAATGAGTAATGACCTATAAATTTATGAACTTCTATTGTGTGTGATAAATTTTGATACAAGTGAAGTTTTTGCCGTACAGAATTGGATCCACTCAAGAGTATTGGTCATTGAAAAATAAATTGTGCTAGATGAGGAGAAACTCTCATCCTCTTAACTGCTTCCTTTGAAACCTAATTGGATGAAACAAAAAATATAAGGAGTTCAGTTTTTCCTTATGATTTCGAGATCTTAAGTTTTGCTTGAGTGTGCGGGTTAGAAAGCCATTTTATTGGTAAAGTATATATTATTGGTGTGTTTCTGCACCATGGAATATCGAATTATCATTTGTGAAATGCTACTTTAACACCATCATGGCACCATTTTAGTACTGTATTGTTGCCTTTAGCTGCACCTTTCCCACCAAGGTGTTGAGGAGTGGTGTGTTTTACAGTTATTAACGAGCTGATATCATGCCTATATAAGTATAATAAGACAGAAACATTAACAATTATAATGAAGACTGACCGCTGTTAATGATGCCTAATGTGGTGGCTTCTTTTCCTGTGCTGGTCTGTGCCATTTTCGCTTGAATTTCACATGAACAAATTCTTCTGTCACATCATATTTATGAACATTTATGTGCATGGGATGGCACTAATTCTATATTATATTGACAGCGCAAGAGATGGTCAGGATGTTGGGGTGGATTATCGTGTTTGAGGAAACAGAAAGGTGGAAAGCGTATTGTACCTGCATCTCGCATGCCTGAGGCCAATGCTTTTACAAATCAGGCAACTGGACAACAGGCTGGCGGGTTGCCTAATCAGACTACTGGATTGACTTTATCTCTTTTAGCCCCACCATCTTCACCTGCATCCTTCTCGAATTCGGCACTTCCATCGACAGCTCAGTCACCAAGCTGTTACTCGACTGCCAATTCACCTGGAGGTCCTTCATCTAATATGTATGTCACGGGTCCATATGCCCATGAGACGCAGCTGGTATCTCCTCCTGTTTTCTCGACTTTCACGACAGAGCCCTCTACAGCTCCTTTTACTCCACCACCGGAACTGGCACATTTAACTACTCCCTCTTCTCCGGACGTACCTTATGCCCATTTCCTTTCATCCACCATCAATCTCAAAAGCACTGATAAGAACAATTATATGGCTGGCAATGATCTTCAAGCAACATATTCTCTCTATCCAGGAAGCCCGGCAAGTGCTCTCAGATCACCTGTTTCAAGAATGTCTAGTGACAACTTATCATCATCTTTTACTGAACGGGAGATTCCCCCTCAATGGGATCCTTCCATGTCTTCCCAAGAAACTAAGCTCACAAATTCTGATTCAGCCAGGTTACTTGGGCTTCAACCAGCAGGTGCCTCCAAGTCGCGTCAAGATTCTAATTTCTTCTGCCCGGAGACATTTGCTCAGTTTTACTTGGATCAGTCTTCATTTTCCCATGCTGGTGGTAGGCTCAGTATTTCCAAAGAATCTGATGCCTACTCAAATGGTGGAAATGGGTATCAGAATAGGCAGAACAAAACGTGCAAAGCAGATGCTGAGGAAATAGAAGCTTACAGAGCATCCTTTGGTTTCAGTGCAGATGAAATCATCACTACAACTCAGTATGTGGAGATTTCTGATGTATTAGAGGACTCCTTCAGTATGACGCCTTTTACCTCCAATAAACCTGTTGAAGAGGAACATTATTTAACTCCACCAGCAGTAGATGGAGCAAAAATGGAGAAAACACAAGAAGAGTTTTCAAAACCACAATATGATAAAGTACGACCGAATCATGCTGAAGGGACACTCACTGGAGTGCCAGTTTTATGCGACAGTCTTAAAGGTGAAGTATCACTACCTGAGACATTTGCGCTCTACATTTTTGAATTTAAAAAATGGTAATAGAACTTCTAAATTCGTCCTTGGTAATTTCACCCACAAATCACTCCATTTTCAAACATCTCAATGCTGAGATGGACAATTGAGACAACAGTTTCTGTAGCAATTTTTATTATGCCCCACCAAGCCGAGTTCCATTGAAGTTTATTCTTCATTGAAATTCCTCTGTTTCCTCAGGATATCTTTCAGGATGGTAGGTGTTCCAAATTAGCAAAATATAGAATTTAATTATAAAAAATATGCAAAATCATTACTAATTAAGTATAGGCAGGTAGGATTAACAGAATGTTAATTTTCCTGCAGAAATATATGGATTTCAATATTGTTGTTCTTGTCTCTAATAAATTCTTGCTTCTCTGTTGATATTTTATTATGTTAATTATCATTATTTAGTGCCTTTTCTCGTAACCATGCTGGTTTTATTTTCCAATGATATTTGATTTTTTTTTTTCCCTCTTTCCTTCGAGCAATGACATCTTTTCTTACATCTCAGATCAAGTACCACGTCAGCAACTTGGAGATGTTTCTGGACGAAGTATTCCCAGTAACCACATTCTAAGTGATGATGACTGCGTATTCTCCAAGTCGGGATCTACAAGAAATGGTAGAAAATATAATTTTGGCTTGTCAAATTCTGATGCAGAAATCGAGTATAGGAGAGGGCGAAGCTTGAGGGAAGCACGAAGCCTGAGATAAAACAAGGTTACTCATCATGGCATGAATATTTATCAGATCATAGTCTCTTGTATGTATTAATTCTCGTTTACTTCTGTTGGGAGTTATCTTCACAAAGGAACTAGCCTTTGATCCGACTCTCGTTTTGCCTTTCTTTTGGTGTGTCTGTCGTATAATATACTCTCTCAAGAATTCTGCTGGTGGCTTTTGGAGTCTGTATGGTATATATTGGTTCATACGGGTGCAAAGAATAGATTATGTGCACTTCTAAGAAATGCCTCAATCGAAGTTCTGTTTCATTTATGCTAGATTTTCTCCGATCTTTTTCCTTCCATTTTTCGGGTTTACACAGTGTCGCGAATGTGTATTGACGACACTTCAGAAAAGAAAGAAGTCATCTGAAGTCTCACATTGGTGGTGAATGGAAAAAATCCACAGATTGTCTGTTTCTTGTCGTCCAACTATGAATTTTTGCTTTTGTTGCTAGGGGGGACGATTATTCGACCAGAACAAAGCTGGAATGGTCAAATGCGACATTTTTCTTCCGTATGGTAGTCGTATTTTCACGTGTACATTTATTGTATATCATAAATACAATATTCATTGAAACCTAGTTGTACTTCCTAGTCTCGTAAATGTAAGCAGAAGTTATAAAGCCTCGTTCAAAACTTGTGTACTATTACACTTGTATGCAAGCATATTTTCAAGTTATAATATACAAGAAGCTCGTTGTCTCAATTAGGGTTGGACATGGTTCGGTTTAATTCGATTCTACTGAGAAGTGAATTGGACCCGAAATTTTCTGGTATTTAGTAAGTGGAATCGTTGCATCCAAATTTAATTTTGGAATCATTCGGGTTGGTTCCATTTGATTCGATTTTAGTTCAGTATTATAATTAATTTTTTTAATATTTATAAAACTACATTAATTCAATTAATGATATGTTCAATTTCAACTCTTATAAAATAATGTAGTTCAATGTTACGTGTCTTTTGTGTTTCTCTTTGTTGAGTTACTCGTAGATTTGATTGTTAAAATCATAGAAAGAGAAAAATAACGAGCTCATAATAATTAAGAGTGGCGTTGTCGAGCTTCATTTTGATTTCTTCAAAACGGTAGAAACAGCACTACGGTAAAGTAACAGATTTGGATAAAATTTAGGTCAATTTGATTTAGTTAGCTTTAAAATGAAAATTAGAAATAGGAAAATTGTATTTTTGGGTTTGAAATTAGAAAAAATAAAATAATTTGGTTTATTTAAAATGAATTAATTAAAAAAATTAGGGAGATTCTGTTCTTATTTGATTATTCGATTTTTGATCTAGAATTGAGAATCGAACCAAATTCGTTGATTTTCGATTTAGATACTCGTTTGAATATTTAACTTAAAAAGAATCGCTCGATTCGGTCCAGGAGTTTTGTCCAGCCTTAATTTCAATCTAATTGAATACAAAAAGTATTACCTTGTGTCTATAAGTCTCTCAAAACTCGGCATGACCTAGTTTACATCTAGATAGGGAAGAGATGGTCCAAGCCTTTAAAAAGTCAAAAGTTATTTTTGAGATTAAGAAGTTAATTTTTAATTGAATATATTTGAATAATTTTCTAAAATGCGTTTCGTCCTTTTCAAATGATTGGGGAAGGTGACAAGTTTTGTTGCTAAAAAGATTGGATGTTGGCTCCTCACATTGAAGAGGCCATAATGAAAAATGAAAGCTTGAATCCCTCTCTGTAGATACCCTCTATAGATAATGTTAGACTGGGCATTGCCAGGTCGAGTATCAATGCGCAGAAGGAAAGAAACGAGAAGATGGTAATTGGTAAGAATTTCTAAATCAAAGTTTCCTCGAAAAAATCATCACATGCCTGTGGCAAGACAATATCTACTAAATCCTCTGTCCGAAAATCTGGTTAAGCTTCTACAATTTCCAAACCCAAGACAACAGCAAACAAGGTCCTTAAGACAAAGTCATCTGTCACTAGCAGCTCAAAAGGTACTAGGTCTGGTGGAAAGAAACAACCTGCTAACAGAAATTCTAGTATCGTTCGATCTAGACAAAAGCTAAAAGTTATCGGATTTATGGGTTGAAGCTCAGTGAAGCTCGCTTGATATGGAACAATTAAGTTACTTGCACAGAAATTTTTGTACACATTTGTTTGACAAATGCAGATCTGTCAAACAAGCTGTAAAGAAAACTGTCCAAGTAGCTTGATTCGATATGGAATGGAAGCCTGTGTGAATTCGTTCCTGACATATCGTGAAAAAGCAACAGTTAAATTCGGTTGAAATGGTGTCACGTGTGTGTTAACACAACGAAAATGAAATATACTTCTTTCATTTTGCAAATGAAATCAATCTTTTTGCTTCCAAACCTTTATGTAAAAATTTATTGTGACTTGACATGATTACTAGATGAAACCGTACAACAGGTGAAGGAATTTAAAGCTTTGTTATTTCCATGGAAGAGCACGAGGCGTTTTTGCAGGGGTGACGACATTTCCTGCAGAGTCATAGATTATCACCCCTGAAAAATCCGGGAGCTCGCATTTTCCTCCCATGAGTATGTTCTTCTTCCACACGGAGGCTTCGCCACTGATAGTACTCGAATCAACATCCCCAAAATGGATCATTTCGTGGTTGAGTTGGATAACAGGATCATGGTCTCCATAGCCATAGCACGCTCTCCATTTACGCCATCTGCGGGAATGACTGGCACACATGAAGAGTGCAAATGCACAGAGAAGAAGTGTTCCAAAAGTGAAGCCTATGTGAGACGTGGTGAGTGGCTGACGGTCTAAGATTATGTCTCGAGCCATTGAGGGTATTGCTGATATTGATTGTGTTGACATAAGAGAGAATGTATATAGGTAAAAGAATGGGAATGGAGTTGTTGGGTTCTTGGAGGATTTGTTGTGCGCTTCAGTTTTGGTTTTCGTTTGTGGGTTCAGTATGCTTGGACCTGCTCTCTCTTGATGGGTTAAGAGTACACAATTTCTCAAGTTTTATTTTAATCAACCATCTTATATCTCATAACTAGTCACATAACTACCGTCTAATTGACTTATTTATTTATATTTTTTAGTATTATTTTTTATATATTTCTAAAAATTATAAATTTAAACATATATTTAACAAAAAATAAGATTTGGAGTTGTTTCAAGACGGGTTGGGATGTGACCATCCCTAATTAGATCTCTCTTGGCCAACATTAATTGGTTATCTTAGAGAGCTAGCAAGTAGCCTCAATTGTGCTTTGAACCCTGCAACAAATTAAGGGCTAAGGTGCACTTCAGCATCTATCAAAACATTTTTGTACAAATAGCTTAATTATTGTGCTTTTATGTTCCTCCTAGGTGGGACGGGGCCATGGTATTTTGCCATCCTTAATTAAGGTCTCTCCCGTCCGACATTAATTGTTTGCTTATAGAGTTTGCTAGGGCCCCCCCTTGTGCTCTATGTACCTCCCATTCTTGATCCTCTCATTTTCGTGTTGGCCATAGCCCATAGTTATTATAGAATGGCAATGAAAGCAAGGGAATAAAATGACAAAAACCAGTAGAAATTTTTGATCGCAAAAGATTTTGTTTTGACCAGTTCTGATTTTCAATGACATCAAAACAAACTGAAACTCTGTCTGCAACTACGTAAGAGAATCAGAACATTGGATTTTTGAAGACTGGTCTGGTCCTCAAGGCATGTGGGGAATGCGAATTAGCCACTTGTGTCTCCTAGTGAATCGGCGGTATTTTATGAATTTGATAGTATGGTAAGATTTGGTCCTAGATATCTCAAATCTTGATCACTCACTTTAGTCTTGCCTTTAGAGCCACCCTCATGAGGACATCCGTCTAATTATTTTACTTCATGGTTAATTTATTAATGTCTTTTATTTCATGGGCTTCTTTTTCGGTTTTCCCCCCATTCTCTCTAGTTCTCCCCTCTTTCTTGTTGTTTTCTTATTTATCCTGCATCACACCCCCATATTCACTTTTGCTTTCTTTCTGCAGAACTTGACCGCTGAGTTCATGCACCCCACTAGCTTTGGGCGCATGTGATTCATGGGACTTGCTTACACAATACATACTTATATTGGATAAGTTCAAACTGTTTTTCTTAATAAACTAGAATTCTAGTGGGAACTGAAGTCAAATAGGGTGACCTCATTGCATGAATATCAGCATTTAACCGCTAGAATTCGTCCGAGATTTGTTCGGAATTTTGGTAATTGTGAAAGTTTAGAAAAATCAAAATAGAAATTGGTTTCTAAAATTTTAAACTGTACAACGAAATCTGAAGACATTGTTCGACTTTGGGATTAGAACTTTTCTCTTGCTTCATGCCGCAACTGAACTCCCCTTTGTATTGTGAAGAGAATCAATTACTAATCCTCTAAACATGAAATGTATAAACTGTAAGTATTATGCCCTAGGTCCAATCAACTTTGGACATAAATACTTTTATATGTAATTAATGAAATTAAATGGCAGATCTATTATTTAATTAATAGACAATTAAATAAATAATAGAGTCCGTAGATTCAAATATTTGTAATTTGTTAATCACAATGAGTTGTGATTGTGAGATACAAATTACATTTGATTGAATCTTAAATCATCCGTGGTCGTAAGTAATAACGAGATACAGATATCGTTATTACGGATAGACCATCACGTGTGGCATTTCTTACTTGTGAAGTAAGTAGCTGATCTCACAAGTTAAAGTGTGGTGACACTTAAATGAACACGTGGATGTTTGTTATAGAACAAAACATTGGAGACCTGTCGAGAGATTCCACATGGATAACTATCTGAGTGTCGGTGGTTAATCTCTAACGTTCG